CTTGTGCGTTCATATCCCCCGCCAGCACTGCAGTGTCCGTGTTTCTTCTGTGGCGAAGGAGCTGAGTCAGTTGGCGATAGAAGTCGTCTTTTACCGAATCATCGCTTCAGTTTGTTGGTGCGTAAGCGGCGATAACGAATAGATAATTGTTAGTCCCGTGCGGCTTCGAAGCTTTGAACGAGCCAGCCAATCGGACCGCATACATCCGGCTACTGATTGGAATCCAGTCAACCAGAGCAGCTTCAGCCCGTGGACTCAGGGCAATGCCAACACCAGCTTGGCCGGTGCTCGAAGCTGCATCGTCACTGGATAGGCGCACAGAGAAAATACTGCTTGCGTCACCTGAAGGGGATCGCAGAGTGGGCACAGAGCTCGAGTCTTGCAGGCGGGTCTCTGATAAGCAGCAGATATCGATCGAGAGGGTATCTAATGTTCAGGCAAGTGCTGCCTGTTGACCGATTTGTAACGGTGTGCGTACATTGAGGCACGCCAATCTGAAGGAGGATCGAGGGCTCCAAATGGAAGCCGATGAACTGGAATGGACCGCTTGGTTGGACATGAGGTTGTCGACAGGAGAGGAGTGACGCTGCGCGTTCACACGTGAGTTGAAACTAGGAGATAAATGCCTAGCAAAACATGTTGGGGGAGGGCCAAGAATCGGGGGTTGAAAACTGAGGGGATATAAGTGAAGTTGGAAGGGGACGGTAAGAGTGAAAAAGCGTAAGATGGGGAATAAGAAGACGGGAAGACTTGAGCAGTAGCATCCAAACCCCCTATCCACCCTGCTCGATGCAGCAGATAGGGCACCGTTGATTATCCTTTGCGGAAGAGTGGGTTTTAGTATGCAGTGGTACATTCGACCCTACCGTACGGTTGTGAAACCTGACCCATTAAATTGGCATACGTAAAGAGTCCCATTACGTTCGACCGTCGGTGCCTTCGCGGTTTGGATCATATCTGGTGGGTACACCGTGTGAGCAATGAGGTTCAACCGCTTTGCTTCGTTATATGTCGCACCAGGCTCTGATAGCTGCTCCACGTGTTGCGGATGCTGGCTCAGCGATTCCTGCGGCGTGCGTTTGCGCGCCGGGCTTTTGGATGGAAGATGAGGAGAGGAGGGCAAGCGATGACTTGGTCAAGAGAAATGAAGGCCCTTAGTTCGAAGTTGGCCTGGGTTGTTTCCTCTCGGATCTCTGATTGGGGACCGAAAGCTGATAAACACATTTGATTGGATACACTTTTTGAAATAACGAGGATTCAACCTCTGTGGCGTTTGTGTCGTTAGTTTTTGTCCCTCCCCTCCAACGACGATCTCATTTCTCTGGCATTATATAACCAGTTTTACGTCCTTATCGGCGGCTGGTAGCTCTCTGGTCCGATGTCCATCCGTTACTGGTGGTTCAGCTGGCGTGCCTGTTGCAGGTTTTTTCTATTTTTTTCCTTAGGTATTGCGGCATATTAGCTGAGTTGCTTTCCACCTCTTGCTAACGTGTATTATGATTAATGTTGACGATGATGCCGGCATCAGGCGGCTTTTTGATTCCAACAGCTACAACAGACGCTGCTTCACGGTTTTCTCTAGCACTTTGACTAAAACTGAGGTCAGATAAATTGACCTTTATTTGTCCTCTCCTTCAGAATGGGCTTCATTTCTAGCATTTTAATCGCTCGGTAATGCACTTTCATGCAGCGACCTGTTGAACCAGTCGGTCATGGAAGAGGAGATGATGGTCACAGGCGACTTGAGAATCAACGACCGGAGTTGTTTTCACGCGTCCTAGTTCTTTTGACTCTTAGTCGGTACAGACGAACGTTCTTCACAGATAGTACGATACGTGTACAGAGTAGCTAATCGAATTCGTACATTGCGGGCTAACGCGACCCAACCGCCAGATTTGAGACGAATACTAGCAACCTAGCACGACTGCAATGTGACCCGAACGAGAAAGAAGACTTGATATTAGCAAGAGTTCTTTTACTGACTTAGTTAAGGCGAGGCGTGCCTTTTACACCATTTTATAGCTGAATAGAACAGCACAAACTATAGAGAAAGGTGGATGTTAGCAAGACACTTGAGTTGTCGCCCAGTGAAGGGGTCCTAAGAGAATATCAGTTAGTGTTTGTGTGGTAAGTACCGTTGCAACTGAGGAGCTCAGGTGGCTCTCTGCGGCATGACATGATAGGGACAGTGGTGTCATGAGAGTTCAGGGGGTTCACTTCATCGTACACGACAGTTGCATATGTCCTGAGTTGAGCTCAGTTGATTCCTTGTCATTTGATATCTATGTCTTTGGGATGGTTCAGTTGTTTATAACGCAAACTGCGTCGCCGCATGGTGGTTGTATCTCAGGTGAGCCCGTCGGAATGCGCGCAAGTTTGTCGGAGCTATGCCACTTCCCCAACAGAAGCCCATCACGATCGGCCGGTTTCGTGCCGTTAAGAGTGGCGAGTAAACTGCGCACCTCTTCCACACCTTAATCCAAACGGTCGAGTTCGCCTGAGACTGCACAAGTCGAACTCCGTACGGACGTACGGTCATTTGCAAAAACGGTAGCGAAGTGTATCTCCAATGCTCGAAGTTAGGGGCTGTTTGTCAAAGCTCTCTAACCCTGCTTCGTCACCAGTCGGCCTCAGGCGCTGCTTCAAGTAAGCAAAGATCCTCTTGGTTCTGCAACCTGCCATTCGAACTGCTAACGCTTCTGTGCTTGTGTGTTCTTGCGTAAATTCTCCTACCTCTTGTACACCTCGTGATCGTGACTGGTGCCCGATCTTCGGAAATATGCGAGGGGTGTTCAAAAAGAAACCGAATTTGTGAAATAGCGTGGCAACCGGCAGAGGTAGCGCGCTGCGGCTACAGAGCGCATGCAGAGGCTTGCTTAGACAACAAACTGTCATTTGCCGCATTTCGCTATGACTGTTGGTTGTGGAGCTACAGCCGCTGAACTGAGCACGTGCATAAGCTGTTCGTCGGATTAGTGCCAAAGAGAAAATGACACAGTTAGAAGAACAACGAGAGTGTGCAAATTTGTTTTGCTACAAACTTGGCAAATCTCTACAGAGACATCTCAATTGCTTAGTCAAGCATACAAGGAGAACTGTCTGAGTTGCACGCAGTGCTATGTGTGATTTAATTGTTCTGAATACGGCAGGATGTCGGTCAGTGACGATTCCAAGCCTGGACGATCTTCCACCTCAACAGACGACGACCATGTCGAGAGAGTTTGTGTTGTGATTCGTGGCAGTCGTCGTTTCACTGTTCAAGAAGTTGCTGACGTAGTGGACATTAGCGTAGGATCATGTCATGAAATTTTAACCCGTCTGGGGGATGCTGTGCGCAGGAAGGGGCCTGAACTGTGGGAAAACCAGGTTTGGGTGTTGCATTATGGCAATGCATCGGCTCACTCATCGCTCCTTGTCCGCAGTTATCTTGCAAAACATCATACTCCCGTTGTGCCCCATCCACCATATTCTCCTGACCTTGCTCCTGCAGACTTTACTGTTTCCGAAACTTAAAAGCTCGTTGAATCAACTTCGTTTCCCAATCATGGAGGAGATTCAGGAAAATACGACGAGAACCCTGCGCGCCATCCCTGAAAATGCGTTGCAAATGTGCTTTCCAAAAACGGAAACACCGTTGAGAACCGTATATTGCGAGTAGAGTGGACTGCCTTGAGGGGCTAAGTGGTTACAATGTTGTGCCATGGGAAATAAAGAGCGAAAATCCGGTTTCTTTTTGAATCCCCCTAATATTCCGCCTTACGCGTCACTCTCGAACCAACTGACCACACTCCTTGTGGAAACAATGGCTTCACTCGTCCAGCTTTCCGACACGAGGAATATAAATTGAGCGCCGAAAATGTTACGCTCACTTTTAGTACTGACCAGTAGGCTTTAACAGATGGATCCACATGACTAACGACTCGAGTTAGACTACGGAAGTCAGTTTTCTAGTAGTTGTGTGATGGCTCCTGTGAACGCGAGTATGGCAACGGCAGTTCTAGGCTGGCTATGACCACTGTGTGGTCACATTCTGCCAATGGCTCCTTACCTGCACAATCTGTTCACAACTATTCAACATCAGGTCCAAACACCAGGGAACTGAGTGTTGTGTTAGCTCTCGTATCTCATTTCAGCAAACTCCGTCTCCAAGTTCACCATGCCCTGGGAGCAGTTGAATTTCAGACCAGAGTATGCGAGGTGTGTTAAAATTGCCCATGAGTAAGAATCGAGGACGACTTGTGTAATTTCTGATATGTGGCAACCAGTCCAAACAACTTCGCGGACCGCAATATACTGCTCCCACGAACAGTCCACCGCATTTCAGGTAGATCGCGCACTACAGTTGCTCGTATAGGCCGTTTTTGTCTCGGTGAGTGCTTGTCAGTCTCCCTCACAAAGAAGACTGAATATATAGCAGCAGACCACCAAGATCGTTTGTTATCCTGTCGCACCGAAAGCACGGGTGTCCGCTGTACCGGACTTCCTAGGCAATTTCATCAGAATTCAACAAGTTCTCTGCCAGTCCTAGAACTTCCGGGTGCCGAGCGACAAGGAAATAGCACAACTCGACACGTTTGTTTATTAGACTGCTAATAATGGTGATGGGTACGCGCAGGCCGCGACAAGAACTGCCGTGCAGGCCTGGAGCATTGCGCACATCATCAATCGTGCCGTCTACTTCACGTATATCACCTTGCTGCCCATCGCCTACGTCCATGCATGTTGTTTACCGACAGTTCCCAGTTTAGTAGACCTACACGACGTAATTCGATGATATTACAATATGGCATGCAACAGCACTTTTTGCCCTACTTGTAATTTCTCAGTTACTATTTAATTGCTAATTGACTAGTCCTTGTTGAGTTTCGCACTGTTACTAATACCAGACAACCGCGTTGGTGACCGGACTCCTTAGGCTACGTTTGTTGTAGTCCTTATGAGGTTTGATCTCATCGATCTTTCTCAATTCACTATGCTTTTTATTTCCCTCCCTTGTCAAGCCTTTTCTCGAGAATTCAGTCAGAATTCCTATGTGCCAAACTACTGTGCACTCCGACCATAAATGCAACCACTACCTGTTCTTTTCAAGCGGCTGGGTCGGCTACGTCTACTGACACACTAATTACGCCACTTGGTCACGTTGGCTCAGGCATCTCTGTCGATCTGTTCCTTGGTCGCCTTTCCATCTCCGGTAAATGTGACTGCAATTCCGGAGGCGATCTGCATCATCCAACTGACCATCTACTTAATTCTGCGAAATCAGTATGTCTTCGCCTTTTAGGCTTCCGGATCGCTTTGATGGAGGGTAAGTTCTCATTTTTCTTACTCTTAAACCTACGATCATCATATCTTGGTTTTTATGTGCGCATAATATGTATATTCTATTCAATCTACCCGGAGATTATCTTGGATCCTTTTCCTCCCAGCAATCTCAATGTTCTGGCTGTCGCCGAGAATAGTCAACGATGCCCCAACTCCTACATGGAACAGGGTTGATAGGGGTTAAATCCTACTGCTCAGGCCTTCTCGCCTTCTGTCCCCCCTCTTGCGTTTTTCCATGCTTCTCGTCCCGCTCCAACTACTTTTTTCTCACCTGTTTTCAACCCCCCTATTCTTTGCTCTTCCCCGTCTTGCTTCAATAATCGCTTGCTTTCTAGTTTCAACTCACACGTTGGCCTGCCGAACAGCCTCCTCGTGGTGCCAGCTGGGTGGTCCGCGATTATCTCGGTTCGAAACGATTTGGCATATTGGTAGCTCGGGAGGCTTGCACAGTTGTTGTGGAGTTCTCCGAGCTGAGCAATTTGGTTGCAAATGTTTCGCCACCATTCCAAGTGGCATCTTCAGTGCGGGATTGATAGCAGTTAAGTAGCAGTAGCTGGCAGAAAGCAAACCCAATAATATCTCGGTCCAGCGAATGGTTCGGCGGCAGTGTTCCAGGACGTGGTGGGTTATCGCCTTGCAAGCGTTCTCCCTATAAAAAAACACATGTGTCCGTTTAGCAACACTCGACGTGGCGGATGTGACTCGCCACTAAATAAAGTCACTGCCCCTTGTTTCACCTTGTTGAAGCATTGTATCTCAGCACCTTGCTGCTTAAGTCGAGGGGAAGACTGGGTCCCTGTTTGGCAGCTCACCAAACGAAAGGCATATGAACTGAGCAATCAGTCATCGGCTCCCAATGGATGCGAATCCCTGACTTCACTCCGCTGCCTTGCGGATGGGCTATTGATCCAAAGGCTCGGGGTGGGGTCCCTAAGACAACTCCCCACTTTGGCTTGGGCAACCGGGTAGTATCGTGCCCTCTGTGAAAACCATGGATTTCGCACCTACTACTACGTCACTTACTTCTGCTACTACTTTCCCTGCTACTGGTGGTTCTCCATCACACGCCAACTTTTGTTGATAATCTACAATCTGTTGAATCTACTTCCAATGCCCATTTCGCTGGTATCCACATCATCCGGCCATCAGCTATCATTCGACCCCGTAATTCATGCTGTCTGGCAGCGTTCAATGTTCGGACCCTCCTACAGATTGCACAACAGGCTGGTATGGCGCGCACTCTAGAGTCCCTCGCCATCGATGTTTGTTGCCTTTCAGAGACTCGATTGCAGGATCTCATCACCGTGATTAAGTTGTCGTCCCTTGCTGCTCTTGAAACCACCTAATATCTACGTCTGTCTAGTGACATGGAGGCAGCAACAGCCGGCCTAGCTGGTGTCGGTATCGCATTGAGTGACAAAGCGGAGGCTGCATTACTCGACTGGTTTTCAATCGACAGCCGGCTGTGTGCGGTTCGGCTTCAAGGCACATGTAGAATCAACAGACATCGTGATGAGAGACGCAATTTGTTTGTCGTTTCTGCCTACGCTCCAACCGATTGTAGCTGTGCATCGGTTAAGGATGACTTTTATCGTGGAATCCACAATCTTTTGAACAAGGTCGAAAAGTCAGATGTCATCGTCCTTGCCGGAGATCTCAATGCACTAATAGGTCGCCTGCTTCCGGGCGAACGTCATCTTGGTGGCAGTCACGCGCATGATGAGAGCCGTTCTGACAACGATGAAAGACTTCTTACGTTATGCGAATACCACCGTCTCTTTATCACAACTACGAACTTTGAGCCTACAGGAAGAGGTGCAGCCACTTGGCGTCCTCCTTCACCAACACAAGCGTGGTCACAACTGGGTCACATTGCAATCAGCTTTAGTTGGTCAGGCAGCCTTCGGGGTTGTAGTTCGATTTAGTTTACGTACCTCTATTCAGATCATGCTTTGGTCTGCGCGAACATCTGCATGCGCTTCGGCGGCTCCTCAAAGCGAAAACTGCATAAGCACAACACCAACGTTAGCTGACCTCTCTGCACAATCAACTTATTAATCCTCCTTATCGCATGCATTCATTTGTGCTCCACCTCGGGACACTGAAAATCATTGGAGTTTCTTGCTTGAAGCGATGCTAACTTCCAGTCATTCAATCTGCAGAATTACAGGGCGCCCTCTGAGGGGCTAGATTTCCACACACTTACCAGAACTGTTTGATCGTCGTAGAGCTATCCCGACCGATTCCAATAGGAGGGTATTGCATCTCATTCTCAGCCAACAACTTAAGCAAAGCCTGCGAATGGATTGCGAAACTTGGTGGTCCCAACGCGCCTCAGAGATGGAAACGGCAAGGTCTTCCAGGTCATTCGGGCTACTGGTCACAAAAGACCTGGTGTCAGTGATGTCATTTCCTAGCTTGACAGAACGCCGATAAGCAACTTACACAGGCGAGTGGCCCGCTGGGCTAAACACTTCCACACTCAATTCAGCTGACCTCCTCCGTCGGCGAGCCTAATGAGTATACCTAGTTACGGGCCTTGGAACCTCACGTTGGAACCACCCACTGAAGCTGAGGTCTGCCTTGGGCTCCGACACTTGAAGTGATTCAAGTTTGCTGGCCCCTACGTACTTCCTCCAGAGCTGTTCAACTTCGGGGGCGAAGTAATTGTCATGCAGCTAACAGCTCTGTTCTTTGAGATCTGGTGTGAAGAAACAGTCCCAGCCGCTTGGAGCGAGTCAATCATCACCTCGGTCATCAAGAAAGTTTCCCGTACCCTATGCGCTAACCACCGAGGAATCAGTCTAATGTCCATTACCTCCAAGCTGTTAACTTCCATTCTGCTCCGCAGAGTAACCTCGATTCGTGAATTGCGCTTCCGTGAAGAACAGGCTGGTTTCCGCCCCCGGTCCAGGGTGTATAGACCACTTGTTTACGCTCCGCCAACTCCTTGAAACGCGTCATCTTTATTTATCACCAACCCACTATCGTTGTTTTCCTGGACATCCGGACCATTTTAGACTCCGTCGATCGGTTGGCTTTATGGCGTTGCATATAAAAGAATAGAGTACCCGAAAAGTATATCGCCATCCTTCGAGCATTATATTGAAATGTCTCAGGTAAAGTGAGGGCTTATGCTAAGCTCTCTTCACATTTTGCCGTCACTAGCGGTGTACGACGGGGTTGTCCCATGTCCCCGTTTCTCTCCTATTGTGGGATTGAGGATGTCCTTTTAAACGCTCTCGAGGGCTTTCAGGCAACCGCGTGACCGATTCAGATTATGCTGATGAAATTGCCTTGCTTGGTGATTACGCACAGAGCACACAAGCCGTTCTAAACCGCTTGGTGATTGAAGCATCAAAATATCGAATGACCTTTGCCCCCTACGAAATGCAAAGCCCTGGTCCTGCATTGGCATCCACCCACCCCAGTGCTCACTCTTCAAGATACGTAGCTTGAACAAGTGGACAACTTTGTTTACCTGAAAAGCTGTCTCTGCTGATGGTAGCATTGGAAAAGAGATTTCTCTCCGCATTGCCAAAGCTTGTTCAGCATTCGCCAACTTGAGGAATTTGCGGCGACGCCGTGACGTTTCACTATTGGTAAAGGGCAGGGTCTACAATGCCTGTGTTTGTGCGGTGCTGCTGTATGGGAGTGAGGAGTCCTGGCCGATTCGTGTAAATGACTTGCGTAGGATCTCGGCCTTTGACATTGGATGACTGCGGAGAATAGCTCGAGTGTGGTCGATGTACCACGTAGGCAACGATGACGCTGGACGTCGCGTCTTGGGTAACAAGGAACTTCCACTTGACAGACTGGTATCACTGCGCCAACTGAGGTGGCTTGGCCAGCTTTTACGCATGTCATGCGAACGGCTGCCCCGAGGCGCTCTATTCGCTCGCATAGCACCAGGCTGGAAGAAATCGCATGGTGGTCATTTATCACGTGGGGACAAACGACTAAAGCGCTTCCATTTTAGCTTTCGCAGGTCCCGTGCATCTTCCGGGCTGGCTCTATGTCTATCTTGTATACGGCATTCATGATGCTTCTTCACCGCAGTTGGGCTAAACCAACTTACACTTAAACTAGGTCTTTTTAATGTGGATAAAATTCGTTGCATGTTATTTGGTTTGTTTTGCGTACTTGATAATCTTCCCCTTACTTGCACACGTCGCTCACGCAAATTGTGGTAAACTTGCGTAATTTTATCGCGTGGTATTTTTTAAATAACTTTCAGACATTTTGTACTTATCACGGATTCATTTATAACCAATTTCTTCGATGTGCTCATTTAGTGAGTATTTATGTCGTCATATGCGTTTACTTTAGTCGATATCGGCATTTCAAATGATTGGCTGTTGTTTGACATCCCAGGTGTGACTGCGCTTGATGTGTATGTTGACAAGGTGCCTACCTGTCAATTACCCACTACCTCGTCCATACTGGCTCCAGGAGACAGTTGGTCGTTGCTGAAGGGGACGGGGTGCACGATCCTTGTGGTCGTGCTAGGCTCGAAGAGTGGTTCCATGCCACTCAGTGTGGAGTGGACTACGGTCCAGCCACCGCCTTGTGTGCACTTGATTCCCCAAATACAGCGTGTTTGTGTTTGTCTGTGAAGGAGTGTGGGCCGGCTGCGTTGATGAAACGTGGCTCTCATCCGCATGCCTCCCGGTCTTATTCCTTCGGGTTTACACTAGATATGGAGTGTGTGGATGGAGCTGTGGGTGGTGCAGCGCAAGCCATCCATGGTCCCTCTGTAGGCGCAGGCGTCCTGTGGCTGGCCACAGTGACAGGCAAATCCGGAACCGGATGCCGCCAACCATATATATATATATATATATATATATATATATATATATATATATATATATATATATATATATATATATATATATACATATATATATGGTTGGCGGCATCCGGTTCCGGATTTGCCTGTCACTGTGGCAAGCCACAGGACGCCTGCGCCTACAGAGGGACCATGGATGGCTTGCGCTGCACCACCCACAGCTCCAACCACATACCCCATATCCAGTGTAAACCCGAAGGAATAAGACCGGGAGGCATGCGGATGGGAACCACGTTTCATCAACGGAGCCGGCCCACACTCCTTCACAGGCAAACACAAGCACGCTGTATTTGGGGAATCAACCGCACACAAGGCGGTGGCTGGACCGTATATATATATATATATATATATATATATATATATATATATATATATATATATATATATATATATATATACATACATACATACATACATACATACATATATATATACATATATATATGTATATATATGCAATCAAGCGGACATCAGTTCATCAGTTACTTATCACTAAAACTGTAATGTCTCATCGTGCGCACTTTGTCACAGCTTGGCCAACCGGCAGCACTTACCTGAACATTGGAGACCATAACGGTCGTTACTTACTTCTTATCAAAAACCCACCTGCAAGATTCGAGCTTCTTGTTTACTTTTCGATCCCCTATACGCAACACTGGCCGCACTTTCTCATCTCGCCTATCTGGAGATGATGCAGCTTCAATTGCCGGTCAAGCTAGCTTGGACATTGTTTTGAGTCCCCGAGCTGAACATGCCCTGATCGATTGAATTGCAGTCAGTAGACGCATGTGCGCGGTCAGTTTGGCTGGCTCGTTCCAGGCTTCGAAGTCGTACGGCACAAAAGGTGTCCGTTTGACATTGTGACCTACGTCCCCATAAACTGCAACACTTGTTCTGCGCAAGATGATTTCTATCACGAACTTAACTATGCCCTTCGTCACAGAAAAGGAACGGGTACTGTAGTGCTAGCTGGTGACCTGAAACCCAATGTCAGCAAATTGTCATCTGATGAGTTACATCCGGGCGGTCGACATGGTGTTGCCTCCCCTAATGATAACAATTTTGCTGTTGCTACACCTGTGTGAAGATTGTCGCCTGTTTCTCGCGACCACTAACTTTCGACATTGCCCCCGCAGAAGGGTGACTTGGAGCCCACCAGCTTTGAACCAGTCATGGTCGCAAATCGATCACATCGCGATCACTTACTGTTGGATAGGCTGCGTCCCAAACTCGCTCGATTTGGAACACGAGCATGTACTCCGATCACGCTCTTGTGCTTGCTGACCTTCGGGTATGTTTCGGCGGACGTCCACAATGTCGCTGTGAGCGCATAGACACCAGCCAACTGGCGGAGCCAGATGTTCTGAATGCGTATCGAAGTTCGCTGGCATCCGGGCTGGGTAAGCGCTAACTGAATACAGTTGGAGGTCACTGGTCGCATATTCACCAGACGGTACTATCAGCAGGCATGTGTTCATGTGACAAATCAAATTGTCAACCTGGACATTGGGTTTCTACAGTCTCTGGAACATTTGTATGTTCGCCGACGTATTCCGACTGGAAGCTAACACAATGAGACTCGCAAAGACCTCAGGGCAAAACTGCGTGCTAGACTGAAGATAGGCCACGAATTCTGGTGTTCTCCTCGTGCATCGGAGATGGAAGTGGCCGCTTCCGTCTGATATGGGCACCGAAACGCAGGTGATCTAATATTTGAGAGATCATACGCGACGAGAGTGCACAACCTATGCGCAGCTTGTCAAAACGCTTGGAGCCTTAGGCTGAACAGTTTTCGAAGCATTTTATTAACTTGAGTTTTCACCTTTTTTGGACGTTGATTAAACTTGGCTCTGTGACGTTTCCTCGGATCTGTCCTCACGCTCAAAATTCGAACGTGAGATCAAACTGTTGAAATTGAATAAGACCGCTGTGGGAGATAAGCTCTCCCCAGCGCTCTTCAATTTCGGGGACCTGCTCTTGCGTATGATTTACACAGTTTATAGAGAAACTGCATGAAGTGAAAACTGTCCCAGCCGACTGGAGCCGCTCCGTTATAGTCACAATTTTCATGAGTGGCTCACGTTAGGAATGCGGCGACCATAGAGGAATCAGCCTGATCTCGATTGCCTCTAAATAGCTTACCTCTGTCATCCACCAGACTGACTGGTACTCGTGAAAACCAGATTCGTGACGAGCAAGCCGGGTTTTTTCGATGTCGCTGCTGTTTCGATCACGTCTTCACTTTGCGTCAGTTGTTGGAGCACCGTCACATGTATTGGCGGCCCACCGTTGTGTTTCTCCACATTAAAGGTGCCTTCCATTCGGTTGATCAATGTAGCTTCTCAGGAATGATGTGCCTGAAAACTAGATAAACATTATCAGATCGCTGTACGTGCATAGCTCGGACGGAGTTAGTGTTTATGGCTAACCATCGCCGCCTTTCAATATCTTCAGCGGTGTGAGACAAGGATGCTCGTTGTTACTGTGCCTTTTCAACTCCGCTTTTGACTAATTCATGGAGATCACGTTCACATGACACGACTTAAAATGTGTGGAGCTGATCCCAGGCGAACGATTTCTTGACTTCGAGTATGCTGACGACGTTGCCCTCATCTGTGACTCCTCACAAACGTGCCAAGCTGCACTGGAGTGATTGTCACTGGTTGTCAGCCGTTTCGGGTTTTGTTTTTCACTGTCGATGTGCAAAGCTTTCCTTCAAGATTGATTGGGACCGCGTCATGTGCTGACATTTGGTGGTGATCATTTAGGAATCTTTCAGGAATTCATGCGCCTGGGCAGCCATGTTTGCGCGCGTGCAATTGAAGTTGGGGTCAAAAACCGGGCTTGCGAAAAAAGCAAGTTGCCAAAAAACAGACAACTGAGTACTTATTAAGCTATCTTGCGTCAAGAGAGATCTTAGTTGGAGTGGGAGAATAAGGGGGATGAGGAGGGACGAAGAAACTCACAACACAAACGATATTGTCAACGCCTTGTCAACTAGTGTATCAAACCAAACTTGCTCACCCCCTTTCGGACCCCATCCAGGCAGTTTTGACACACCATGCAACGCCAACTTCAAGGTGTGGGATTTCATTCGTCTTGACCAAATCATCGCTTGGCTCCGACGACTGGCCCATTTGTTGCGCATGCCAGCACGCCGAAGCCTGCGACGTTCGTTATTTGCGCGCCGGGTGTGTGTTTGGAATTGGTGGTCAAACGCTGACTTGGTCAAGAGGGATGAAACCCCCACTTTGAATTTGACGTCAGTTAGTGCATCCCGTCTGCCGGGCTGTGGTTTGAAGGACGATGAGCGCGTTTGGTTAGACCCACTTGCTGTTGTGGCGAAGAATCGGCCCTAATGACGTTTGCGTTGTGCGTTTCTTTTCCGCCCCCTCCCCTTTAGATTTCGCCTCCAATTACGATCTCATACCCAGTGCATAAAATATGTTGTTCAACATTATATTACTCGTCTCTTGAATTGTTTGTAGTCTGTAATTTTTAGTATTATTTTTCTTGTATTGCGGCACATTTGCTGAGTTGTGTTTCTCACCTTCAGCTAACGTGTATTGATGATGTTGTTGATAATTTCGATTAATACTCACCTTTCCGGCTGTTTTGGTATAATGTAATAGAACACTTACCCCGCCACTGGCCTAATTGCATTCTCTCATCGGTTTTCCTTAAACTGATCCTTTTGCTAGTTGCATAATTTGTTAGCTTTGTTCTGCACTCGTATTTTTGGATTTTAGCGCCTACTTCGAGCTCCTGTATGCCATCAACCACTGCTTTTTCATTGGCCCTGGTACATGCGAATCCACCTAGCTGTTCCCTTTTTATCTTATCATATTTAGAATTTCTGGAAGTTCTCCAACGGTCTAACTTTTGCAGAAGGCGGTACGAAGCATCGCTTGGGGCACAGAATTCCCAATCAAACTTCCATCTTCCAGTTCGGACCGGTTCCATCCAAAAATCATCCAAAATTTCAAGTTTTCTCACTTCCTCCAGTGTATTCAGTCCTCCAGTGCCGCTGCACTTTTGCGTCGCGTTTCTCCCTCTTTGCTCAAAATTGACGTCTGTTGACTCTGGACTCCAGTTCGATTTGATCCGTCTCGTCTTCCGCAGGTATTACGACCCTGTCTTTTTAATTTTAGCTATCATGTGGGCTCACTACTCACAAACTTGCCTCTACGTGAGACGGTCGATAATTTGTGCGATCTCATCCTGGGTCAGAATATGTTTGTGGGACTGCCAGTGGAGTATTTAAGGGATATGATTCTATTGTGCACCGAAAACATACGGTTTGAGTAGGAGAGGACAGCATTGAAATAGGTCGATGGAGTTGCTGTGGTCAGCCTTCTGGGACCAGTTTTGTCAGTTATCTTCCTCGAATTGATACGAAGGCATGTTGCTGCCAGCATTTGTGAAGCGAAATTGTACAGACGATAGGTGGATGACATTTTAGTGACGAATACCTTACGCGGCTGTTGACCGTTCTGTATTCGATTCACCCGAACCTTGGATATCCCATGAGGTGGAACAACGCGGTTACCTGCCGTTTCGGGATGCACGCATTAGGACAGCAGCTGAATGTACCTTGCAGCTCACTGTTCATTGTAAATCGACTTGGATTGAACAGTACCTCCATCTCTCCAGCTTCGTTGCGGTCGCATACAAACGCAGCTTAGTGAAAACTTTTTAAATCATTATATGGGCCCTGGGATATTTGATCGACCGATCATTTGTTCATTTGCCATATAATGCGAACCAATATGTTCTTGCCAAGTTGACCAGATATCACTTTGTTCGTTCCAGGCCCCTGACGCACTCGTTCATCTCTATCTTGGAATGCACTCGCTTTATTTTCACATTCTAGATTTCACGCATCCCTGCATCAAAGAAATTGCCAGTAAGCGCGGCTAGCTGGCTTAGGGGTAGAGGTTTTCGATGACACCGCCAAGGCTCCGGGTTACGGTGTATTTTATTACTACCTGATATGAGCAAACTATTTCGGAACCAGTCGCAGAATGCCATGTTTTCCTACGGGCAATACCCAGTATCCATGTTTTAGGGTAATTCTCTTATTTTTTCATGCATTCGACCTGGTCCAGACAGTCTATTTACTGCAAATTCATATGGTACAGTCGAGGTGACATAACAACCATGCTCATTTGCTTACGTCGTCAGTGGTGTTGCTTTGCTTCTCCATCCTGCTGTCCGTCTTAATCCCACTGTTTGTCTTCTCCATCGGTTCTTCCCTTCCTACACCCGTATTACAGGTGGTTGGGTGTGCACTATGTGCCCGGCATCCCCGGTGTCTAGTGATTTCCCCCATTCCATCAAGCGTACCTGTTCTCCCCATACGAATGATTATTAGCGTGATACACTTGGTGCATCTAAATTTCCAACCTCTACAATGGGTTAGAAAACATGTGAGCTAACTTAAGAAGAATTGCACTTCCATCCTAACCCGTTTGTCAGGAACAAACGCTCTTTTGTGGTCCTAGGCGAAATTGGTGACATCTGCAGCGCCACTGGAGTTCTGCGATCTGCATATATATCGCCGCGAAACCCAATGAATTCCTATCACCATATTTGGTGACGTTCAGCCACACTAAAGCCATTTGTGTTGACGCATTCCGCCTTACGGACTTATTGCCAGTTGATTGGATTCCTGTGAGCAGTTGTCTTTGTGCATTCCGTTTCGCCTCGCCCATTTTGGGCAGCACAGAGAGAAGCACTGGACACTGCTTATAGTTACTGCCGGCACGCCCACCGATTACAATCCTGATGCTGCCAATGACATCACTAGCTCAACGTTACTTCATAGTGTTACCAGCTCATATGTCTTTCTAAAGTTGCAAGGCATTCACAGTCCAATCGTCTTAGTTCTTCGGAAGCCCGATCAAATTGGATATTTGGACCAAATTCTTAACGCACCGATAATGGCGAGCATTGGGTGAAAACATGCGCTGAGCATCGGCTGTTTATTAACACAATGGACCCCGCTTTACCATTTGGCGTCTTCCTTTAGCTGCCCTTGATGTATCGCATCTCCACTGTCAACAAGGGTCAGCATAGACACACTACTTTACAGCGTTGAGCACTGTTGGCTGAATGGGCGGAACTTTTTTGAAGCACATGGAAAATTATCCACTGATCAGCTGCATCTGGGCGGCCACATGGTGTATGCTCCCGTAATGGTGCTGGTGAGCGATTACATTGTTTCTGTGAAGATGCTCACTTATTTCTTGCGAGCACTAACTTCCGAAACAGCACCCGCTAGAGAGTGACATGGTGCCCACCAGTCTTGGCATATCGTTTATGTGGATTAGGAACAATATGGGCCCCAGTACAGTACCTTGGGGCACGCTGCTTCTCAAGGGATACCAGTCGATCATATGGTTGCCGACCTGCACCCTCCACTTTCAACTAACAAGGAGTGCAGGGATGTGAGATAGCAAAACCGGAACCCTCCATTTCTGACGGATAGAGTCCCGGTGATCGGAATCGCACATGCTGATTTCAAAGTCAACCGAAGCCACAATTAAGATTGCGGGTCCTCCAGAACGCGACCATCAAGGAAATATCTGATCTATCGGGGCAGCGACCCGCCAACAACGCACACCCTCCGCAATAAAGGAGCACCTCATGATTCACTTATCAAAAGCCTTCCGGAAGTCAGTGTAAATGACATCGACCGGCTTCCCATATCAGTCCCCACTACTATCCTAACTTCCAGAATTCCCAGTTTGATTGACAGCAGCCGTAATGCCACTGGAGTAAAACCATATCTGCTGCATACAGCAGAGGGGATAACCGAAAACATGCTACTGCTGGCGCCCCCTTTCCTTTTCATCTGTTTCTCTTAATCACCCCTACTAGCCTTCCTTCTAGAATTCCCAGTTTGATTGACAGCAGTCGTAATGCCACTGGAGTCAAACCATATGCAGCTACCTTCCCGCACCACCCACCGGACGCCCATGGGCAACATTCCCTTATAAGGCCACACTGTCCTGTTTCCCTGGCGGCGTTCAACGTACGCATGTTGGGCACGCTGGGTGTTGACTTGTGTTGTATGTCCGAAGCTAGTATCTGACGCTCACGGGTTGTTGCATTAACTACACTGGCTTGTCTTCTTGCTATTGGTTGCACGCATCCGGAGACGCTGATGCGGCAATCACCGGTCAAACTTCGGAGGGCGTCGTTCTCAGCTCCAAGACTGAGTCATCGTTGGTTAGTTGGATTCCGATGAGCAACCGTTTGTTTGCAGCCCGTTTAGCGATATCAACTAAAGTGGATTCACGAATTAGTACACTACGCTGTTTGTTGGTGGTCTCCGCTTATGCTCCCACCGACTGCAGTTCTCTTGCTGCAAAGAACATTCTACTACGAACTGAACGCTGCTTCGCAGTGTTACCAGTTCAGGTATCGTTGATGTTGCAGGGGATATAAATGCATAAGTAGGTCGCCTGGGCTCTTCAGAATCTCGGCTAGGTGGTAATTATAGGCTTAACTCCGAACGGACAAAAAACGGCGACGTCTGTTACAATTGCGCTGTTTCTTAGTAGCACAATGGGCGCCGAAGTGCCGCTTGGCGTCCTCCTGTAGCTGTTCATCGATTGACCAAAAATCACATTGCCATAAGTTACAGGTGGCGTGGTTACTTCCTGGATTGTCGCTCGTTCTGGAGTACTTGTGTCGACCCTGATCATGCCTTGGTACGCTGTCGTTTTTCCATAAACTTTACTGAGATATGTACCAACCGTCCCATTCGGTTGGTAACTGAGAAATTATCCCAGCCCTCGGTCAGGCAGACCTACAAGGTTGCTCTGCTTACCGAGCTTTCGCTATCTTGTCCTAATGACACTGAGCTTCAGTGAAGAGCATCTCGGCCGCCATGCACTACACAGGCACATCTGCTTCTGGCACTATCGGTTTTCACCGCACCAGTTACTGGATGATGAACTTGTTGAAATCCGGATGAAAGTTCCCTGCTGACTCTGAGCACCATCTGACCAGACGGACTATTATGCACGCACTAAAGCGGAGTCTGCCTGCTGACACGAATGCCTGGTGGATCAGCTGAGCTCAAGAAATGGAGGAGGCGATAGCAGTCAGCAATTATCGCAAGCTCTTCCAGCTGATCCGCACCACTGGTCAAAGAAACCAGACGTCATTGAGACAATTAGAAACAACACAGGTGCCATGGTTTGCTACAAGGGACGCCGTATGGATGCTTGATTGGAGCACTTTTGAAATCAGTTCAGTTGGCCCCTGCTTCTGTGCCTCTTCCTACTTAGCTGTGCAGGGTGAGCCATGGCCGGTTAGTTTAGTCTCCATCGGAGGCTGAGGTCCGAAATGCGGTCGCAGCCCTTAATCGTTTTCGTGATGCTGATCCGGATTACTTCCCATCTGCACTACTTAAGGATGGTGGTGGCGTCCTTTGCAAAGCACTTGCCTCCCTGTTCAAGCATGTCTGGAAGGACCGTCGCAACGAGACTGGACCTTAACGTGGTGCGACGGTTTGCGTACCTCATTGACCCATTGAGCTATACTGGGTGATGCCTCCGAGCATCTTGAGAGCTACTCCTACCAGGTTGGTCAATGGTGAGAGGTCAGACAAACTCAGTCTCCTGGTCCTCCAGGTTGGGGGTTTGAAATGGGTTGGCGTCCATTTCTGTAAAATTAAATCACTGCCACCCCGCTGCCTTGCGGACAGGCTTTTGAGCCAAAGGCTTTGGATGAGGACCCTAATCGTCCTCCTGTCTAGGTCTGGGCGCCCTGGCAGTATCCCAGCCCACATACAACCATGACATTTTTTTCAAACATAAACTTCATCCTACATCGGCCGTCGCGCAGATTATCAAGGGTCGCCTTATCTGCTGCATACAGCAGGGCGGATAAGCGAAAACATGCTACTGCTGGCGCCTCCCTTCTTTCTTTTCCACCTTTTTCTCTTACTCCCATCCCGGCCCCCATTACTAAGCTTCCTTCTATAATTCCCAGCTTAATTGACAGCAATCGAAGTGCTACTGGAGTAGTACCATCTGCAGCCACCATCCCACAGCACCCATCGGACGCCTATCGGCAAAAGTCCCTTATAAGGCCACGCTGTCCCGTTT